AAAAAAAAAAAAAATTTCAGAACTGGGCCCTTCCTGATGATGCAAGGGATTAAAGCACATCATGAAGCTACTGGCAGCCACTGCAGTACGAGTTCGATCCCCGGCCAGGATGCTGACCCACATGGTGCAGCAGACCTCTCCTGACCCATGTGCTATTCCCCAGTGTATTTTCCCACTGCTATTCCTCAGCAGTGTATTTCATCTGCCTATTCTTCGTCCCCCTTTGTCTCTGGTGAATCCTCTCACCCCCTGCCCCCCTAGCCTGTACCCCAGTTCTGTAAGCATAAATATTATTTTTTTTTTAATTCAGAACTACCCCAAAAAGTAATGAATGATAAAACCTACAAAATAAAGTAATGGGTATATTGCTGCACTTTCAACGGGCTTTATCTCATTAGCATGAAGTCACAAATGTGTAAGAGGTAAAAGCAAATCTCACTGTGTACTCATGTTACATTTCTTTAGTTTCTCCTCCAGTTCTGGTATATCTCGAAGATCTGCTCCAATAATGGCATATCTCTTTGAATCCAATGTGTGCCCATCTGCAAGTGCAAGAGGAGATTAACATTTCAATAAAAATTAACCAGAAAGAGATGGCAATGGAAATGTCTATTTTTAAAAAAGCAAAGTAAATTTGCTTTACTCCATTATAAAAACACATGCTCACTATAAAAAAAAAAATCAGATAAGACAGTTAAAAAAAAAACAAACAAATCACACCTTCCAAAGATAACTCTTGGTGGTGTTGTGTAACATTCCAGTCTTTTCTGTGTTTAAATTCATATACAGCTGAATGCATTCATATTCTCTCCTCCCCTCCCACCCCCCTCCCACAGACACACATACACACACACCATAGAAAAATAAGAAAATGGGGCCGCCAAAACTTTTGAAATGGCTTTTCCTACTCCACACATCAAGGACATCATTCTCAGTCACGACTTCATAGCAGTGCACTGAGTGGATAAAAGAGCTTAGCTGACCAGTTTCCCAGTATCAGGTGGACCCAAGTTGTCTCCATATAGGCGCTGCAATGAGCAGCCCTGTATGTACATCACAAAGCGCATGTGCAAGACCTTCTTTAGGTCACCATGAGTGGAATCAGGAGACGGAACATGAGCCTATTTAAATACTGGGACCAGCTGGCAGGCTGCTCTCAAAATACCGTGCCAAACTGTAATTCAAAAGAAAGTAGTTTGACTTACCTCCACCGACTCCCATGAAAAGAGTCCACATCCCTTGCCAGAAAGTCATCTACAAAGGACCCAGGCTATGGATTTTTAATTTTACTTGAAGCCCCTGGTATTTTTTCTGGCTTTTCTTGGCAAACATCATAGGGAAGTTAATTTGTGAATGTGGTATCTAGAGGAACTTAGTGATGACTGAGGCTTAGAGAGATAAAGGGACTTGTTTTGAAAAAAAGAAAATACTAACTTGAATTTACTCTCTCAAATGCCCCAGTAGAGTCTGGGCACAATGTGCATACAGCAGGCCTTAAGCTTTGGCAGGTACCAGGAGGACATGTTAAAACACCGATTCCAGGCCCAGAGTTTCTGGCTCAGCAGATCTTTCAAAAGTAGAAATAAACATTTTTTTGTTGTTTCTTTTAAAGATTTATTTATGCATACAGAAGTGGGGTACAGGCCAGAGAGAGGATTCACCAGAGACAGAGTAGGGTGCAGAACCGGCACATCGAGGAAGTACACTGCTGAGGGGAGCAGAGGCCGGTCAGGAGAGGTCTGCTGTGTTATGAGTCAGCTCCCTGGCCAGGGATCTAACTCATGAAGTTGCTGTGGCTAGCTTCATTCTACTGTGCTTTAACCTGTTGTGCCACCAGGGAAGGTCCAAAATACGCACTTCTAACAAATTTCCAGGTGTTGCATTAAAGCTGCCAGTCGGGGGCCACCTTTCAGAACCACTGGGGCAGACATAGTGAGACTGGTAATGGTTTCAGTAAGTAATGGGCAAGTGGATGATGGTGGACCAGTCACAGTATTTCTGTGTCTGCCTGAAAATGTTCAGTGCAAAGTTTAACAAAATGGAAAACAGCAAAGAGAAAATCACTTGGTTGTTTAGCTCAGCTTCCTTGTGGGCACAAACCAAAGAAAGTGCTAGAAACTTCAACAGCCATCCTGTATCATTACGAATAAATCAGGGTCTCGTGAGAACCACAGCAACCAAAAAGGCCGAGAAAGCTGCACTAGAGCATGTGTGCACCCAGCACATCGGCTGGTTCAAATACTCTGGCCACTCACCAAAGGCTAAGAGAAACACCTTGTAGGCAATTGCTAAGTATCAGGAAGCACTAAAGGGGAAGTGGGAAACCCTGAATTCAGCCTAGGGGTGCCACAATCGCAAAGCAGGAGGATATACAGCACATCAGAGGGTCAGCCCTCTGATGAAATAGGTTGAGGAGTCCCAAGTGCCTGGGTACCTTCTCACAAATAATATGTTACCAAGCACATTTAGTTTCTCCAATTCAAATCCTCCACCCCACCCCGCAACCAGAATTTTAAAGCAATTTTCTCAGACTGTGCAGTTCAGGGGAGACCAGAATCTGACATCAGTTAAAGCAAAAATCACACAAAAATCACACACATGGTCACAATTTCTTTTAAAAACTGAGCATGAGGTAGAGCAAGCTGAACTGGTGATGAGGCGCTCCCTCCAGTCCTGGGGTGATGCACGGGCAGCACCAGACAAGGCAATCTGAGGCCCGTTTCTCACAGAATCTGAGAGCCCCAACAGTACACACCCCATCCTGATGACTGAGCGACTGACATCACGGCTGTGCTGGCTATGTAGACAGAGCAGACCCGGCTGACCAGTTGGTTGTTGGGTCTCATTTTGTGGGGAACAGGTATATTTGGTAGGGGACAGAGATTCAAGGCACATTTCAAAGACATTATATAAAAATTACCATTTTTATAAAATCCACTGGGCAAGTGACCATGGGAAAAGGGGTAAACTCTGGTAGACGTGATCTACTTTTGAGAGCTGGTGAGAAAAATAACTTACTCACCAAAACAAGATCAAAAGCCTCCCTCCCCACTTTTTCCTATATTTTACTTGAAGGAAAGGGAGGGAATGGGGATGGAAGCATTAGTGTAAGACTCACACAAGACCTTTCCAAAGAACAGACCACTGATCGAATTCTGGAAAAATAATTAACATTGACTTACAACCTCTACTACTATTGCTCTCTTTCTGTGAGCACTCTTCTTTAGAGGATAGATTTCTAAGAGAGTTTAAGAAAAAGGAGAAATTCCAAAAACCTAACACCTTCATAATGTTTAAAAAATCAAAACTTATGCTTGGTCAGAATGTAGAAACAGGTTGTGAAAAGCCTACCCATGTTCGGGCATTAATGCATTAAAGCAGTGGTTCTCCATCTCCCCAGAGGACCCTGGGCATGTCTGAGTCACCATGGGAAGGTGCTTCTGGCACCTAGAGGGCAGAGCTGGAGGTGCTGCTCAACACCTTAATCAGGAGCCTTACAAGGAGGCCCGTCCTGACAGAGAATCATTCAGCACAAATGTCAATAGTGCTGAGGCTGAGAAACCCAGCAACAGTTACCCCACAAAGCTCAGTGACCATTAGTCAATATTAAATAATTTTAAAGCCTTCAACAGTCCGAATTCTTCTCTGGTAGGGAAAACTTAAACTGACTATGGCACTTCTCTGGAACCTCATTTCCAAGATGAAAACTGCAGCGTGACTCTGCAGCCATGTGGGTTTGGGCTGCAAACGGTTCTGATGTCACAGTCCTACTCAGCCAGCCTGGTCATGTGACTTTGGGCAAGTCACACAACCACTCAGAGTTCCTTTCTTTTAAGCAACAATGTGGCGAATGCCAACTCTGTGTGACTATGGCAATGTTAAAGTGCCAGTCGCCACGGTTCCCAAACGATGTGCCACAGCGCACGAGAGTGGCAAAGCAACTCACAGGGCACAGGATGATACTTTAAATATGTGCGGGAAATACAGAGCTACTCCACATGAATCAGACAGAGGCAGGCGCCACTCTGTTCAGTCCATGAACAGCTGAATCTTCTGTATTCCTTTTGACAGCAACACGGCTCTGCAGAGCTGTTACCTCACATGTGGCCGCTTGAACATGACTGTCAGACAGGTAGTGTGTTACTGGTTCCAAGGTGAGCTCGTGAAGTGCCCAGTGGGGCACAATCCCACTAGAAGTAACTGGTTGTCTCAGAGCACTTGTTCTTTCAATTTTATGTGTAGGGTTTTTTGCCCCCAATGACTAGTAAGTTGTTAGAAGATAAATAATAATGTGTTGGAATCGAGTTCATTACCAAAAAGAACTGTTGGTGTGTTGGCCTAGGGGAACTGTGGAAAAAATTCCTAAGACACTTAAGGCACCATGACACAGGAAAGGGGGCCTGGCCTAGCTCAAAGGCTCGGGTGGGGGCAACTGCTGCTGATGCAATCCAGGCAGGTGCTTGAACCGAGCCTAGCTGAGAGGCCCACCCAGATCAAGACAACCCTATCTTCCAAGCTAGAGAACTGTGAACCAAGGAGATGGTGTTGGCTGAAAGCACGTCCTTTCAGTGGTTTGTTACAGAGGAAAAGCTCATACGGGCTTTACTTACCTGCCTCACGAAGCTCATGCCTAGGAAAGGCGTAAGAAGTGGGAGATTTTCACACGTAACACAGCAGTTAAACACACACAATGAGCCCATCTTGTGTTTTCCTATCCTCACCTTCTAAGTGCTGATGTGAACCCCATCAATCCCATGGGCTTTCCTAGCACATTATTATTTTAAAAAAAAAAAAAAAAGGTGTAAAATGGAGGCAGTTTCAGGTGACTGTCTGGACCACACAGAAGATTCATTTGTCCATCTGTTCACCTTCCCAACTTACTGGGCACTACTGTCCTGGTTCTGAGCCAACTTCTGGGAATAAGCTGCTAAGCAGGAAGGCCACTCTGCCCTCCTTGCTATCAAAGCCAGCAGGGAAGATGACATGTGAACAGTGATGCATGTGGCTTCGAAGCCCCTGCAGAACGCGGCCCCCGCCACAGCTTCACTCCCCGGAGCCACCCTGGCCTGCAGAGCTCCCAGACAGCTCCTTCCTTCCTGAGCTCGTCAGAGACAACATCCTCCCTGCGTCACTTCCTCGGGCTCGGCAGTGTCTGACAGCACTCTGAACTGCTCTTGCCATTCCTTTTACTTTATATTCATGTCATTCCATGAAGGAGCAGAGATGGGTTTTATTTACATTCACATTTACACACACACACACATACACACACTTATCCAATAAACATTCAGGTGCATATTTACTTAATCTACAACCTGTGTGCAGACACACTGTGACAAACTGGATCTGCTCGTGACATGTGCAATCAGGGAAGGGAGACAGTGAGTCATTAAACAAAATAATGAAGATAACATCAGACTGTCCATATCATGAGGAAATAAAATCAGAGGATCACAGAGGAGGATGACAGAAGAGGGAGGAGGGCAAGTCTGCAGGCTATCAGTCAGGGTGGGCCTCTCTGCAGAGGTGGCAGCTTAGGTGAGGTGTGGGTGATGAGAAGCCCACTGAGCAAAGACTAAGGGGAAGAGGTCCCGGGAGAAGGAAGAGAAGCGGAAAGGTCTGAAAGTGCGAGCAGGCTCGGACGCTCAGAGGACAGCAGGGGGTTGCGTGGCCGGTCAAGTTACTGTGGCTGGGGAGAAAGTCACAGACGAGGGTGCTGGTGGGCTGCAGCGGGGCGCAGAGAGTAATACAGCCTGGTTTGCTTAAGAGCTTAAACTCTGACTTTTTGTTTTGTGCCTATTTGTACACTTCAATTTTTAACCTGTGTATATTTCAGTTTAAAAAAAATCACAAAGCCAATTTTTCCTGAAATTAGGATGCATCCAATAGTCAATGGCTATTATAAAAAAGAAAAAAAATGAGTTTTATTTGCCAGTACTTACTTTCTTACTGATAAATAATGACAATCCTTATGATCAGTCTCACAGGTTTGATGAAATAAGGTGATTTTAAAATTTTTGTCAATAAGTAGCATTTTTGAGCATAGAATACGATAAGCCATCAAAAATAATGAGGTTGACTTATATCCTCTGACATGAAAAGACAGTCATGAATTACCAGGACATGAAAAGGGCAATCTGGAAGGAGTATGTAAAAGTTACTGTTTACGAGAACTACATATAAATATATATGTGCAGAAGGGCAGATTCACTCGCTGAAGAATGGCATATTGAATTGTACCATGTAACTATTCAAATGCATATTTATATACAATAGAAGTTGATAAAACCTTTTCCACTCTGGGCACTGGATTCCCTGTGTGTGCATGTATTCACTTGTCTGAGGGGTGAGGGGGTCAGCCGCTGAAAACACTGACCAGTGGTGACCTTGGAAGGGGGCTGGGATTGCAGAGGGTCTTTCTACTTCATTTCTATACTGATCGAAAATGATGCAAAACATCAAAATTTTCATTACAGACCATTATTCTGACACAGTTATGAACCAAGCAAGTAGGCCACAGCTGGCAAGCCTGACGAGCTGTATTTACAATCTGTATGAGGGAAGCAGAAAGGGGAAGTCTTCCTGCTGAAAAGGGCTGGGGAATCTCAACCTGGGCAGAAGACTGAGGCATCACGGGTATGTGATGCCTGTGAGGCTTTTGAGACCTCTGACGCAGCTGTCTGTCAATGCCCAGAGAAGGCAACCCTCTCTCAGTGTTTTCTGACCTGAATTATTATAAATCCCTTGAACTTCCCTGTCATACACACTCAAAGCAATGGAAGGTTCTCAAAGGGGGGTTGCCATAATTTGCAGGACTGAGAAATGAAGCGTTCCTGGAAATAGTCATAATTAAAACTGGAGCAGAAACACTGACAGCAGAAGTCAGGGAGGAAGACAAACCAGTGGGGCTGGTCAAGAACAGACAACAGTGAGGCCCCAGGGACCCTGAGGAAGGGAGCTGCTGCTCAGTGCTGCCACCAGCAGGGAGGGACTAGCTTCCCAAGGAAAGCCAGAAATTGAGACTTGTGGAAAGTTGGCAATCAACTTAAATTTTCTAAAAAAGAGACTTAGGTATGGGAGCCGTGGTCATCTCAGAAGCCACGCAAAGCAGTTTTGTTTTAATTCCTTCGTGGTACCTGTGAGATGGGTAAGTGATCAGAAGCACAGGCTGCGTGACATCCTGTGCGTGCACAGCCCAGATGCATGTTTAAAAAGAGGGACGAAAAGTAAACAAATAGTTACACAACCGATATCAAATTCTGAGGTTACGGATACTTGCCCATTTGAAGTGTGTCCTCTGAATGTAATTCTATAATGGGATTTGACAGAAGAGGCTTGAATCTATGGAAAGATGGGAAAAGGAGAAAGACAAGTCAGGTGGCGCAGTGACGAAAAATGCAGACACCTACACAGAAATGGCTACTGCTCATAGCCAGAACCTTCTTTTCTGTGACATTTGACCTTAAGCACAAAGATTTTTTGTAAAAATTCAGCGCTGTTCTCAGGTCAGAACCTGAAATCAAGTCACAAGCTGATTATGAAATACTTGGAGGTAAAGATGGGCTAGCAAGAATCTGCACAAGTACATAGTTTCCAGGCCATCTCTAAGTTTCTTGCCTCTTCTCAAAATTTTTGAGATCACTATTATTTCTCACAGAAAACTTTAAAAATTAACTCTCACTCAGACTTCAGTACCACTTATGTGTAACTCCTTCAGTCCAGAATAGGCAACGAAGGGACTCAAACTCAGTCTCAGACACACACACACACACCACGCTCATTTTACTCAAGGTTCTTTTTTTTTTACTACTCAAGGTTCTAACAAGCTTGGTGATACTTTGGAGATCCAAGGATTTCCATCTCATCTAAAAAGCATACTTAATGTAAAATATAATTTGATGTTTGGAAGGGGTAAAAAACATTTTATAGGATAAAGTAAAAAAGAAAACTTGAAAACATTTCCAGTTTGTGCAATTAGAATCTCTAATGGACAAGCTGAACTGCTTCTTGTTTCTCAAAATCTGCATGAAATATAATTAGTTTCTATTTCGGAGAAATACTTAAGAAGGACGGAGGAAGCCTAAATGAGAGCTGCTGGGAAGCCTGGCCTTGGGCTGGGAGTCAAGGTCCACAGCTCAGCTCTGGCCCTCCCGTCAATTAGGCAAACTCACTGCTTGGAGACTTGAGATCTCGACTTTAGAAGGGCTAAGATTAGCACTAAGTTGGAATTCTGGCCTGAAGACTAAAAGTCAATGTGACTGAGAACATTTAACATGGTGTTCAGCAAAGATTGGCAAATGCCCCACTTATAAATGTGCAAACTCCTTTAAAGCTACACTCGGCATAGCTTCCATCGCTCATGTCTAACAACCACATTTCTCTCAGCCTCCTATTCATGCACTCAAGGTATATTTACTGCACATCTACTCCAGGTCAGGTACCTTTCTATTCCCACGACATAAGCAGAAAACACAATACACATAACAATTCAGATTGGGGGTAGGGGGGACTTATTTTGTTTTGCTGTTCAGAGAAATAATGGGCAGAGAAGTCACAGGGAGGGTTTCTTTCATTTTGAAGGCTGCAGGACATTTCTAGAATGAGGGTCTCAGGGCAAGCGAGTTGGGGGGAGCGTCAAAGGAACACAGTGCCCAAAAATAAGGTTGCTGCTATCATTGAGGCCTGCCGTCGACTGAGTCTGGTTGGAATTCTATCTCCACACTTACTTGATGCTATGCAGCTTTCTTGTGACTATCATTGGAAAGTCGACTTCAAAATATTTCCTTGGGAGAAGATCTGCATCCTGAGAAAAAGCACAGATAAAAAGTACATAACCAAGTATATAAAACATATTTTAATTCTATAAATATATGTATCTTGTGTGAAATGAGGCCACAATCTAAAACCAGTCACAAAAATTAATCCACAATAAAAACTTGGATCTGAGACCTGAAACCATCAAATAAATAGCAAAGAAACAGGCCTTAGAAGTATGTTTGGGGATTTGACTCCAAAACCAAGGGAACAAAAGCAACAATAAGCCCATGGGGCTCTATCAAACTGACAAGCTCTGCACAGCAAGGGAAGCTTCCCTCAAAATAAAGATACCCTGAGTGGGAGAAGCTGTGTATCACACATCTGACAAGGGGTTGATATCCAAAATATATAAAGAACCCAACAAGCAAACAATCAAATTTAAAAATGGGCACAGAAAAATATGCAAACAATGCACCAAAACAGATTAAAAGATCAGTAAGATGCTATCTAGGTATCCAAGTGGAATACTACTCAGCAATCAAAAAGGAGAGACTCATGCTATTTGCAGCAACATGGATAGCGCTGGAAGAATTGTGTTAAGCAAAGTAAGTCAGAAGGGAAAACGACATATCGGATGGTTTCGTTTATATGAGGAAGGTAGAGAAAGCAAACAAAGGATCAGGAAAAAGACAAAAATAGCAGGCTGACCATAGATATGGGAAATCAAGTAGGGGAGGGAGAGGAAGAGAGGTCAAAACAGAGGAGGGAAGACCACAAGGGATGATGGTGACAGGTCACAGGTGCTGTGTGACAGACAACTACCCAGACTACACCCGAGGAGGGCAATCAAACAATGTCCAAAAATAAACGATGTGAAAAAATAAATTGGAATAACGGGGCAGAGGATCTAAATAGACACATCTCCTCTGGACACATAAAAAGATGCTCATCATCTCTTATTAGAGAAATGCAAATCAAAACGATCCCCCATCACCTCACACCATATCCAAAAGGAAAGCGGCAAGTGCCGCAGAGGACGGGGAGCGCAGGCACCGTCCCTGCCGAAGGGAGAGCAAAGTGGGCAGCTACTAAAGCAGCACTACGGTGCTTCCTCAAGAAACTAAAACTGGAAATCCACCCAACCAACAGTGGCAAGTGCTGTTCGACGTCTCATGCTGTGCTTCTCTCTGGCTCTGACACCCCAGTCCACTCTCCACTCCCCTGTAGCTCAGCCCAGGCTGGGTCTGACCACCAGAGGGCAGTGGAAGGCCTGAGCGGAGGTCTGGGTAGGCTCACAGGGATCCAACACAGCCGCAGCGGACAAAGCCAACAGCTTCACAGGCGGCTGACACTGAGATGCCCCTTGGGCAACTGGTCTTTGGTGTGGAAACAGCCACTAGAACAACTGAGGCCCCTTAAAAGGTTCCTCTCGCCCTGAATTCTTTGCTCACACAATCCCACCTTTCTCTCCCTTGCTATTTTTTGCCCACTGCCTGAGATGGGATCTTCTTTGTTTCAGGCTTCTGAGGCCACAGAGGATGGGCCCCGGCAGGGGCAGCAATAGGAACCCTATGACTTGAGCTGAGCCCCAGCTGCTGTGGCCAGAGAACCAGCCCTGCTAGAAGGTGCGTGAAGCACCAGTCTGACACACAGGCTCACCCTCTGCTTTACTGAAGTCCGTTAGCTTGAAAACAAGGGTCAGCAAACTTTGTGCAGTCTCAAGTGTCGTCGTATTTGTAGGCCAGAAGTCCTCAGTCTGAGTGAGCAATTCTGCTGGCTGCCACACCACTAAAGCCCCCCAGATAACATCAAGGGAAGGTGGTGGCTGCACCCCAACACGGCTTCATTCAGCCCACGTGGCCCACATGTCACCTACTCTAAAAAAGTAAACCTGAATTTTTTTCAAAGAGGAACTCTAGACTAAAAAACAAAAACCCTTCAGAAAAATATAGTTACCAAACAAACAAAAAAACTTCCATAAAGGCCTTAATAAACACTGTGATTCTTCCTCACTACAACAGAGCATTTTTTTTTTTTTGAAATGGGCACGTAAGCCTCTGTGTTGCTTATTCAGAAAAAAAAAATCTCAGATTTAATACAAACCACCCACATGAAGGGGAATAAGTAACAATCACATGATCAAGTCAAAGGGTATCAGACCCAAAGGAAGGGTTCTCCAGCGGCCCCTCGCCCTTCCAGACAAGCCAGCCACAGCTCTCGTCTCCATGCCCTGATCACTGTGTTCCAGTGCAAATCAACCCCCACCACACAAACACACACACACACACTACTGGGCCATGAGCAGAGGAAGAAGAAAGCTGAAGTTAGTTGAGCTGGAGTCAGTGTTTTACCATGTTCCAAAGCCACTGACTGTCCCATTTGGGGGAAGATGAAACCTCTTACAGCCCCCACATCTCCCCTCAGAGCACTTGTGTAAATTCATCGGCATGGAGAAGAGAACATGTCAGAAATACAAGTTATCATCTCCTGAATTAGGATGAAAGCCATGCTGAGGTGACAGACTTGTCACCAGAGTGAGAAAGGCTGGCAGCTCTGATGACCAGACCTTCTCATCAGGGGAGCTAAGGGTATGACAGGCAGGTGGAGTGACCCCTGCACTTGAATTTACCCTGGTCTACTCGGCAGAAGTCTGGGGAAGTGCACACGCAGGTCACAGAAAACCAAAAACCCACCTGTACAGCCCCACAAAAAAAAAAAAAAAAAAGAAAGTGTCTCAATGGGATCTCTGTAGGGCAAAGGTTTGGTGATAAATTCCATGCCAGAAGCCAAAGGCCAGTGCTTTGGCCAGGTCAGCCATCACTGGACCCGAGTTTCCTTTCCCAGGCACCATGCGGTGAGCACGGCAACCGGAGGACCCGGCCCGGGCTGCGTCTGGGCAAGGGGAGGCCGCTCCCTCGCCTTCCTTGCAGTGTGTATTCTGCTTGCTTCCCTGCAGAAGCTGCCCAAGGACACAGCCTCGAGTAAAATGTGTTGCTGAGACCATCTCAACAACACAGACGTGACTCAACCCAGTAAAAGCAGCAAACAAATGTTCAAGATTTAGAGCACAAGTGCAGAAAACTATTCTATAGCTGCCGGAGAAAAGTTTATGAAGTTCCCTTGGTGATGAAAACTGTCACCTTAAATAGAGAGGGGACACCCCCCTTTCTTCAGTCTCCCATTGCCCTCCATGTATGGGGGCCAGATTCAGATGACACCCGGGACCCTCCTAAGGCCACAGAGTGTGTTTATACTGCTCCGGACCCCAACATCAGCACAGGGGTCAGACAGGAGAATGGCTACCACAAGCTTTGCATCTTATTATAAAATCTCCAAATTTTACCTAAGTCACTGAAATCTTATGCCAACAATAAACCTCAGTTATCATCCAAATTGTAAATGCATGAGCTCTTTGTATTTCTGCACAGAGGAAAATTTACACAAAGATTTTATTTTTAACAGCGTAGGACGAGAAATCACCCACAGCTCCTCTGTGAGGGCCCTGGGGAGATGAAGCTGGCAGTGGGGAAGCAGTGAGGGGCGTGAGGCAGGCGAGGGAAGGGGTGGGACGGAGGTGCACTGCTTCCCTGACAGGGCTTTCTCTTAACTTTTGAACCAGGTGAACATCTTCAAAAAATTAAATTTAGACAATTGGGGAAAGAAGAGGGGAAATTTTACCTTACCTTTAATGTCCAGAATGTGGTATCCATCCCAGCCCCAAGATTTAGAATTTGACAGTGACATTCTGTCTTCTGGAGAAATGCCTTGATGAGCTGACTGACACCATGGACTCGAGCAAAATATCCTAAAAGACAAAGAGAAACAAGTTATCCATTCATGAGGACAAAATGATTCCTGCAAAGTCTACTGCCTAGAAGAGCAAAACAGAACACTCTGGCCCTTCCTCAGGATCAGCAGCTTACCGTAGGCTACGAGAGGGAAACAGCAGTTTTTAACTTCTTTTTTTTTTTTTTCTTTAAAAGTTGTATGAGCCAAAACAGTACAATCTACTTAATGGTGAAATTATGTTACGAAAATTAAATGTCCTGTGACTTTAGTTATGGAAGACAAGTGTTTCACATCAAAACATCTAATCTAAATGTTCCTCTTGGAAATGACCCCTGGGTCTTTATGACTATAGTGAAAGCTATGTAGATTCTGGGGAAGACAAAACTGAGGGAACCATAGAAAACAGTATTTTTAGGTCAAGAAGTTGGAGAGGTGAATGTGCCTTCCATCCCCACTCTGGAGGGGTCAGAGTGGGGCAGGGGGTGGAGGCAAATGCTAAAGTGGTCGCCTAACCAGCTGGTGAAGCTCTTGGGTGCTGATGTGGGCAAAGGAGACAGAGGAAGGATGGAAAGACAAATCTGTGTTCTGAAATCTTGGTCCTCAAACTGGGACTATGACAACAAGATTAAAACTAGGCAGTAGCGTTTAGGAAATGATTCAGTCTGTTCAGTCTATGTACAGGACCCACTTCAGGGCCACACTTCTCTGCCATGTGCAAGATAGGCGGTCAGCTGGTCAGTTTCCATTTCTCAAGTGCTGATAAACTAAGTCACGCTACTGCCTCAAACCTTTTGGCTTCCTTGATGGAAATTATGAACAGAGCCTGATGGTATTACTGACACTGTAACAAAACAGCAAAATGAATCCCCTTCACAGACAGGTTTTTCATAGTGAAAAAGATACATAGGTGGCTTTTAACCATGCAACAATAACAACCAAATTTATCTGTAAATAAGAGGATTAGCAAGTGAAATTCCCAAGAGATACTCTTTCTTATGGATCAGATGAACAAAAACTGAACTGTAACGCTGTTGGTGAGGATGTCGGGAAATCGCATTCCGAGCACTACTGGAGAAAGCGCGCACTGGGCTCGGAAGCAATCCCTACAGCCTCGGGTCTCCCAGATGAAGTGATGCTGGGGTGCAAGATGGTCACTTGCCTCTGTTAATTTCGGGGGCCTTCCTCTCTTTACTCAGTCTCACAAAATGCTGGATGTAAGGGTCATGCCAGTAGCCGATGCTTACTGCAAACCTGAAAGGGATGAAAAGGAGGCAAGTGAGTAGAGACTAGTAGGTTCAGGCCAAGTGTCCATGGTCAGATCTTCAGGAACCAGGTCATTCAGGGGAAAACACCTCTGGACACTTTGTGCTTCCACACAAATTTAACATGCGCCTCCAACCATCCTCCCATTCATGGTTCAGCGCCCTTTACCTTCCCACAGCGGCCATTTCTCACCTTTTTTTCCTTTATCACTAATTCCTTTCCCAGAATGCTAAACAGCAAATAACCTCACCCATACTTCACACAGAAGATCTATAACCACTTACAAACTCCGCAAACTCCCTGGTCAGAACTGGTCAGATTACTCTGCTCAAACGACAGGTCCATGTCTGGAGGGAGACTGGGAAATCTTTGGTAAACATCACTAAACCACTTCGCGAAGTATTTCTCCAACTCTGTATTGACAGCTAGTCATTTTACGTCCCTCAGTGTGGTCACAGTGGGGAAACCAGAAGCAAACAAACAAAACTGCTACAACTTGGAAAATACTACCCTGGCTGATACCACGAGGAGTTAAAGTTCCAGTGTCCATGCCTGAGAGCCACAGCTGAGTTACCGCTGGAATCCTTCTGGCAACCAAGAGTGGTCTTAGGACAACTGAGAAAGGAACCAGGACCCCCAAAGTGAAGTTGTGCCACCACGGACTGACAGTAGCTCTCCTGCTCAGGTGAACGTCATCTCGTCAGTGAGATGAAGTCTTGACCATTTAAACCAAATTGCGCCAGGTTCCTGTTACTTGCAGCCAGAAGCATACTGACAGATAACCTGAGTAAATGTTAATTTCACCTTCTTGACAGGTGAGAGTAAAACTAGGGGTGTGTGTTTGATGACCTCTCCCAAGTCGGCTCTGAGTTCCCAGAAGCAGATACTGGATCTTTTCTCTGGAATTACAGAGGAGGCCCACTGCTGTCCTGACTACAAAGGGACTGAATTCTGCACAAACTCATCCTCCCAGCCTCTCACATTCATATTTGCACAACTACAGGCCCTCACAAAAGCTCATCTGGTCAGCTACTCAGAGACTCAACAGAAACAAAGTCCTCACTGGCATGATTTGCTGTAAGTCTAGACTGTCCAAGCACAACAACAGACAGTGTACAACAGTAATTTGCTCAGCTATCTAAAATAGCACTTTCCAAACAGTGACCCAGTGATACAAAATCAGTTTAGTTTACAAATATGCATTTTTTTAAAGTGAAGCCGAACCGAGTAAAATCTAGAATATTGCATGTATTACACATAGGAAGGGTTAAGACTTCAGTGAAGCTTTTTCTAGCCTCACTATAGACAGCAACTAGGGGAAGAGACAGTGCCATCTAGTGGTGAGAGCCATCCCTGCAGGGGAAGCAGGAGGGGAGATAGCAGGGCTCTGTGATAATGTTCACACTGTGTGTGCACACTCATCAAGCCCTGGGCGTGGGAAGGGTCTTAGAAACCATGGAGTCAATCCCAGCATCCAGTCCAAGAATCCGTTCAACAGGATCATGCCTCCGCCTGATGACTCCCACAAAGGTGGCCCTCCCTCCACCGCTAAGCACCTGTTAAAAAGCTGCGAAGTCGACTACCTCTGAGCACCCTGTGAGAGACGAATCACTGCCCTCTTGGAGGACAAGGGCAGGTTTGTTCCTCTCAACTCTGTATTTTCAGTTGATTTAACACCATTGATTCACTCAAGCAAAATTTATTAACACTCTGCCAAGTGCCAGGAACTTAGAGTGGTGAAAAGACAGGGAAGGGACCAAGATAAAGATAACTGAAAGATGAAGATGAACAGGGAATGGAGAAAGCCAGGGGTGCAAAGCATTCTGGACAGCAGGTACAGAAGCTAAAAATACTCTGGGAGTATTTGAGCAGACAGCAGAGGGAAGGGCTGGAGAACAGGAAGAAGACAAGATAACCCAAGGGTGCTCAACTCCACAGGACTGGGCAACACACTGGCCACAGTCCGCGAAAAGCAGCCTGGAGAGCTGGGGAGATGCAAAGAACACGGCACCAACAGCTGGTCACTTGTTTCCACGACCTCCTTGAAACGTATCTAACGTGCATCTCTTTGTCTACAATCTTGATGATCCCAAGGGGTTTCATGCCTCTGACAAAGCAAGATTCCACTGCTTTGCCTATCAGTGATGAGAGAAAAAGATCTAAACACTGTTAAGAAAAGTAAGGCAGAAAGTGCTGCTCAGTGCTGCTGGAGTCTCGGAAGAGAACAGTGTCCACATCGGCCATCAAGTGGAGACCAGATGAACAAATTGAATGTAACTACATGATCATTTAAATATAAACTAGAGCTGGAAGTAGTACAACCAAAGATACATGTACTTTATTTACCTATGTTTTAAAATGTTCTGTAAAATACCATTAATTGTAAGACTGAAAAAAGAAAGACAACACACTGCCAGTGAGTTTACTTAATGTTTTTCTTATTGCTTAGAATTTTAACATTAAAACTACCCAAAAAGTTTGTGTGGGGCACTTTATTTTTTTTTTAAAGATTTATTTATTTATGCATTACAGGACTGGGGTACAGGCCAGAAGTGCAGGGGCGGTGAAAGGATTCACCAGAGATAGAGTGGGGAGCAGAACAGGCAGATCGACGAAGTACACTGCTGAGGGGAGCAGCAGGCGGGTCAGGAGCAGTCTGCTGCGCCATGTGGATCTCCTCCGGGGCAGGCGGGATCGAACTCATGCTGAAGTGGCTTTAGCTTCTTAGTGCTGTGCTTTAACCTGCTGCGCCACCAGAAAGGACCTTGTGTGGGCTACTTTAAACAGAATGTCTTTGTATTGATCTTTGGTACACAAATAAAAAGGAAGAGTGGATGCAAGCAAGTCATTACACCTTCACTTTCAGCACTTCTGTGGTTTACTTTACACACACACACACACACACACACACACACACCGGTTCTTTTCTGATCTCATCATTAGCTATTCACACATGACTTGTCAAATAGCAATCAGGATTTGCGCTTCTTAACTGGTGTGTGGAATAAAGCACAGGGCACTATGGCTGTCCAGCTGCATAAGGGCCACTTCTACTTGCAAAGGTAGCGACAATTCCAATACCACAATGCCCAGAAGATCTGCGGAGAACGACTCACCTGCTATCAGAGAAGCACAGGAACACAGTCTTATGCACCTCCCCAGCACAAAGCTGTCTTCCCAACAGGAAGAGCAGTCACATGGGAAGGGGATGAGTGAAAGAGCAGTTCCAAGATGAACCCTACCTTTTCAAGTAAGAATTGAACTAACAGTGGCACCCAGGGATTAGGCAAGCAGGAGAGAGGATCAAGTGATAATGGTGATCTGGACCACTGCCTTGGAAACAACGAATTCGAGATCATTCTGAGGTATCCAGAGGGAGACTTCCAGATGGCAGTGGGTGTCCAGAGCGGTATGATCAGCTCCTAAAAGGCGAAGGGTGTCGCCCCCATGTAGAACTTCATCTTGTAGCTGATGGGGAATCAAAGGTTTGAAGTAGCAAGGTAACAGATTAAGGTTGGTAATTCTGAAAAACGTCGCCCTGGCCACAGCCTGAAACCTGCTGTCAGAGCGGCTAGACCAGAAGCAGACCAACAAGGGTGTGATGCACCGACCAGTGAGTCCGGAGGCCTGAGCTAGGGCCGTGTCAGTGTGGAGGGAAAAGGGGACAGGCTTCCTCTTCATTCCCTCACACCTTCCACACGCGCCACCTCCCACCCCACCGCCAGGAATTCTCCTGAGCACTAACCCAGATCGTGCCACTTCTCCACTTAGAGTCCCTGGGGACCTTCCACAGGCCTCAGGACCCTTTGCAATTCCTTCTCTTTCCTCCTCTCCAGAATCTTCTCTTGCTACACCTACCTACCCTTCCCCAGCTCACCCCCCATGCTCCATGTCAAAGTTCCTCTAAGAACATGCTATGCTTCCATCTCTATGCTCTCTATGCTCTGTAGCTAGAGCTATTTAAGATAAAGAAACACCTACTTATCTTTTCAAGACTCAGATCCTCCCCTGTGAAAGAAAGCAAAGCAGCGCCGACATATGAGAGCCGGCCGGGGACTCTGAGCCAGGTTTCACAGTGCTTGGGAGCTGGCCTGGTACTCACAGCAAGGCCACCTTGTCTCCTGTCAGACAATCTCAAGAACACCGGACAAGGTCACACTGCGGTGATGATGAAGTGAGACAAAACAAGACCGCTGCAAAACTCTGGTATAAACACACACAAGGCCGCCACGCCACCCACAACATGGCATCCCTCTCTGGGCTGCTACGGAAGATGGAGGATTCCTGACAAAGAACAGCTGGAGGCTCGCTCTACTCACACCTCTTTCTAGAAAAGATTGATTACTCTACCTGCCTGCCTGTCAGCACCCAATTCACAGCAAATTCCTGCTTCCTTGCCTTGAAACCTCCGAATTACCCAGCCAAACCCAAACCCTGTAACACCCTCCTACTGAAAGCCCCCAGAGTTCCCGTGCAGCTAGGGCCTCCTTGCAACAAGCAATTAAATCCAGCTTGCTGAATTACAGGTGTGCTCGGTGGACCTTCCAAGAGAGCACAGACAAGTGCAACATTAGGACAGGACACTTAATGTTCTTGGGAGAACGTGAGGGTGCTCCAGTGGGAAACAGTCTACGGCAGCCATACCCGTCACATCGCTCACGTTATCTTGAGAATGACAGGGCAGAGGCAATCAGGAGTTAGAGGAAAGTGAAAACGTCTGATGTGAGCATTCTACAGAGCGGAATGAACGGTGAGAGAAGCACATGAGTCTGCTTAGTGCACAGGTGAGATTCCTTGACCTGAACTGACAGCAGTCCCAAGCTCCCTGCCAATGTATTCTGGGCAAAAGTGAATGTTCAGTTCAGGCAGGGCTGGGGCTCACTAGGGTCAGAGGAAGGGAGACAAAGACAGTCAGGAAAACTGCTGAATGACAGGCTGTGACCTCTAGGTTCAGTCTGGGGGAGACTCACCAGGAGGGAGGAAGGGAG